TGGTTCTGTGCGGAATACGTATCGCACACTACGTTCATTCTATCGTCAACAATTTTTTTTAGCTATGAAGCGCACCTTTGGTGAATGGCTACGTCAACAAACAAAACTGCCGCATTTGGAGTGAAGCTAATCCTCATGTGTATGTCACAACACCGTTACATCCAGAAAAACTGACTGTATGGTGCGCTTTATGGGCTGGTGGAATCATTGGTCCGTACTTCTTCAAATTTGATGGCCAGAACGTTACAGTCAATGGTGATCGGTATAGAGCCATGATTACTAACTTTTTCATTCCTGAATTGAACAACCATGATGTACAGAAGCTGTAGTTCCAACAAGACGGCGCAACATGTCACACAGCGCGTGCCACAATCGATTTTTTAAAAACACGTTTGGTGACCTAACAAAACTTCTTATTGTTGTATTAAAGACTGCATTGTAATAACAACTTTAACTTTGGTAGAACTGGTGTTTAATTATTTTTGACGCTCACAGTATAGAGCTTCTAGTCACAAAGGTTACCTTGCAAACTTAGTCACATAAAAGCTTAAACTCATAGCGTCTTTTTTAGAATCCAAGGCAAAAGTGTAATCCATATACCGATTATTGCCCATTGTAATACTACTTATATGTATATGTTCGCAGTTGTTTGCTCTACGATTTTTCAAAACTAATTTTTTTTTTTTTTTTCATTTTCAACACTTCGCAATATTTATTATATATAATATATAGCGACTGTCATTAGCTTGCCGAAGTATTGATAGCGTAGTTTGTCAGTCCACCAGTTAGTTAGACATATGGTAACTGACTGTCATCACATCACTCTCACTTTTTTCACAAGTCACTCTTAAACTGTTTTAAGTAACAGGTCCGCAGCAATGCAAAGTAGTGAGAGTGACTAAAAGAAAAAGCAAAAACAAATGCCAGCAATTGTCTCGACACAAAACAGAATATGTAAAAACTTTGAAGCTTTAGCGCAAACACGCGGAAAGCAAAAACAACCATTATTGTGCACATGTTTTATGACGTCCAGTTCCGTGTGTTGTACTTAAAATGTCGAAATCACACACGAAAACGAAAACCTTATCAGCAATCGTTAAGAGAGCGGATGAAGTGACAGAGCGGCGAAGAGCAGTGAACGATGGGCGCAAACAAAAACAAGTGTTTGATAAACTGCGATCAGCATGGGAAATACTTGTATGGTCACAAGTGGATGCACGTATACTCATAAATATGTGTACAAGCTTATTTACATACATGCATACACATATAAAGAAAATGAGCAACGCAATGTAAAGTTGAAAATATGGCGCAGTCAAAAATTAGTGCAAATAAAAGTAGAACTTACACAATTTGAATAAATATTAAAAGAAGAATTACACTACATACACAAAGTCTCATCAAATTAACTTATACCATTGTGTTTCTGCGCTCTCACACCGACTCTGTGCAGTTTTCTCTGTATGGCTGCCGAAATTTCGTCTTCGATTTCCCTTGCTTATGCGGCGTTCCTCAAGTGACCAGCCATTCATTCGACCTTGTCGCTCGTTTGCATTTCACGCTCAAAACACATACACACGCACACGCGCACGCACATATTTGTTGCTTTGTTTTTACTCTGTCCGCACTCACATAATTTCACTTGCGCTCACCCATTTCAGTCGACCGGCGCTCAACGATGTATGTGTATAGGCTTGCAACGCTTGCCTTGTCTGACCAACACAACAACAACACCAAGCAACACGTGCACATCAACATTTCCATTAACGCTCGCCTTGGCTTTTGAACCGCTACGCGCTGTCGCCTTCGTGACGTCGCGTCATTGCTTTAAAAAGTTATTTGCAGAGCGCTTTAACTTGTACTTGCGGTTCACAGCGCACGAGTGCTTACCATACGCAGTGCCCGATGGCCGCTGGCAGTCATTTGCTGTTTGCCTGTTAAATAAAATTTATAATTTAATTTATTTAAAAAATTATTTTAAAAAGTAAACATCCGACGGTGAAGATTTCGCCTGCAAACAGCAGACGGGCGCAGACATTGTGAACACTGGTTGTTGTTGCTGCCGATTTGCATGAGATGAGTGCGCTGTGACGCGAGTTTGGAATCCAAGAGCTGCATTAATTTTAAAATTTTTGTCTGACACCGTCAGCAGTGTTTACTTACACTCATTTGCAAGTCACAGGCAAGTAAGAGCAGACGAAGTTAGAGTTTCAGTCTGACAGTATTTGCAATTGCCTTGCTGTCTGTCTGAAAAGCCGAAAATTCGTCAAGTAAATTTTATGTAAAGCGGATGTCAAATGGAATAGGCAGCGCGCGCGTGTACTGTAGTATAATGGCTCCGAGTTGTGTGTATATTGAGAAAATGCTATTTTAATTATAAAATTTTGAATGTTTTGAGTAGAATTCGGTCTGACAGCCATGGCATAGCTATATGCATTGTTATTGTAGCGTTTGCGCGACTGAGGCGCGGAGAAATGTGTGCTATTGTGAAAGCGAAAACTCGCTAAAGAAGCACCAGAGTGACGCCTAAACCAGAGATAAACCTAAACCTTCGAACGCATGTTGACTCATAAATGGGTGAATAAGTTGCAAAGCGTTAGGAAGTACACCGCCATAACTCAAAGGAGTTTTTAGTAGTATAATCATAGAACTTAGATGAACGTTCTCTGGTATAATCAGGGGTGTGGTGGAATCAAAGACAGATTTGCGTAGTTGTCAGAATTGCAATCCAATTTTGATCACAGAATCTGATTAGGTTTAAGACTTTTCGAACATATGCAAAACCAATATTTGAATCAGCTGTTTACTAATGTGACAAAACTTGCTAATGAATAGATTTGGAAGCGTTTGATAAATTTAAAATACTGAATAAATCTACTAAAGTTTATAACGAGTTGCGCTATTTTGGCTTTTATTTTATTGGAAAAGAAAGCAACGAAAAAATTTAAAGAAAGGCATTAAAAGATCACAGTAATCTACTTGATGCACCAGGGAATCGCATGTGAAATTTGGCTTGCATTCACTAGTATATTTGTATACATGCTTACTTTACAGATTTATATCACATTATCAACTGAATGAAGACGCATTTGGATGTTAAATTATGTTTTGTAAATCCTATAAAAATAATTGGATTTTTTTCATAAACTCAATAATTATGACATTTTACGTTTTATTATTTTGTTTTCCCCTATAGATATAACGATAAATTAAATCGTAACAATGCTATAAATTATTTCTTAACTTACATTCTAAATCTGTCATCGAAAATCCTTTTGCTTTGTTTCTGATAACAAAACCGATAAAAATTGGTTTCCGTGACAGCCAAAACCGTTACAATTGCTGTTTCGAACGTCACACCAATAATATTTGAATTCATGACACCAACTACATTTTTTTTATCGGTTTCAATGCTGTTTCCAACAACTATCAGATTCTAAAACATCCCTGAATAACTAATAGAACTAAAATGAGGCAAAAATACGAACAATATTATTGTATACTTTCCAGCAATTTAATAGTTTAATAAATATTTCGTTACTCTTGGTTCTTGAAGAGTCGTTACTGTGAACAACGAACTGTTTCTCCAAAACGTTGCACTGG